GCATATACTGTATAAAAGTGCCTTAACATGAGCACTTTCACTTTCGTTCGACAGAAAAGCCGATAGGAATGGCACATCTCATGATAGTTCAAACGTTACGGCTTACGGGTGACGTTAACACAAAAAAACTGTGATACAGGAAGAATATAATCTAATTCAACGTTTTCACAACCTTTGCCCCACTTCTAGAATAACAATTCGAAAACCAGTGACATGGTCCGGCCATTCCAAACTGATGTCTTCCGCATTAATGCAGGCTGAATGACGATTTGAGGTTATCCGTCTTCATATGAGGTTCAATTCTCAAGATCACCCTCAAATTCCGTTTCCGAAACCGTAGCCGATGCTGTTCCTTACTTCCTTCCATCAAGTCTTTTCTCTCTCACTACCCAAAAAATGAAGCTAAGTGTACAGTACAATTAAAGAACGCGGTAATCCGTACCCCAGAAGGCAAATCCGCGGCGCGCGTTCCCGAGATTACCGCGATCTTATCCATCAAGCGCGTTTTGCTCCTATCTCAGCGTGGCAGTTGGCGCAGGATGGGAATTTCGATCCCACTCCAGGCTGTGATGGGATGAAAAGGGTACAAAAAGATACCCAGGTTCACCAGCACCAGGCTTGAAAATCGAGCCCTCGTGCCGCAGGGACTAGAAATTCTGCGCTCACGCCTCCCGGAATTCTTCATCAACACCGCAATCACGAATGCCCCCTGGTGATTCGGTACAGGAGGCAGCAAAACTGGGGCTGTTCCTAAACTTGGGTGGGTTTAGTGGACGTTGAATTGACGCCAATACAATATTCAGAAATACGCGGTGTCCACATAATATATGGAGATATTCTTTTAAAACTTCAAATTTTAATGAGGGTGATCAGAGAAGATCATCATTCACAAACTCATATATGGATGCTAAGGGTTTTAGTCCCTCAGCTGTATTGCACTCAAAAGCAACAGTAATTAAGATGAGTCATGGGTCCATTCTTGAGTCATCCGTAGGCATTCTGTGCTATTTCCCTTCAGAAAAACAAATTGCGATTTTCATGTCTTGGAAAACTAATGTATTTCTAGAGAATAAGTGAGATTACACTGAAGCTATTCGATTTATACTGTATAGATCTGCTCTTACACAGGCCAAATCATCACTTGATCCTAGGCCTTTTTTCATAAAATAAAAAATAAATACTGTACGGCACAAGCTTCACCATTGGGTTCATAAAACGACTGCAAATATGCACAAATGAGCAAATTTAAACATTTGAACTTGATTGAATAAAAAATCATCCGAATACAGTATGCGTTTCACAATGTTCATTTTGAAAATTGTTTTGAAAAAAATTAAAGACGAGTACAGGCATACCGCGATACATTATATACAATATTTAAAATTTCGTGATCAACCTTTTTTCAAATTTTCAAATAATAGAATTGTCAAAATGCATGTGTGTCAGAAAGAATTTTGCAATATCAACTGGAATTCGCAACCTGATCACTTTCTGAACAGACCCTTCCCAGCACGTCTGCATACATGCGATGAGTTGGTACTTCTTTTGGTGCTTCTGAACATCAAAAGACCATGCAGAAGGAAAAAAACAGTAATTTGCCCCCGGCTGGGGTTCAAGCCGTTCCTCTATTCTGGCATGCTTATTATTCGGTACTATACATGATGTAAGAGCGCGGGGAGAAATCCCATAGGAAAAGCCGCCGTCATGCTACTGCTGTATCTTATCCTCAGTTGTACAGATCATGGATCTTGATTGAAACAGAGGAAATAAAAAGTTAATGCATCGAGTCTGCTTCAAAATGTTCTAGCTCTGCCAGCAGATGCAATTCTGCCTTTGATTTTCAAAAAATTTTATTAAATTAATTAGTTCTTCAAGTACAGTACTTATGAAGACCATTCCTTCAAAACATATTATAAAGATTTAAAAAAGTATAAAAAGAGGCTCTCAATTTATTACAGTATGCTATTAGATGATGCACAATATATTAATTACTCTGCATGTGTTTTAACCCCATGGACGAAACAAGTCCTGAGTTCATTTTGATTTGCATATTTTCCTTCACTGATCAGCCACTATCTTTTTTCATGGATCAATAAGATTACCACTCATTCAAAAGTATGCGTAAAAGTGCAATATTTTCCCAGCACTATACTCAACACAATATGTACAATACATAATTGTCTGGAAGTTTTGATTGCATACATTTTGACAGGTAAGTTCTTCACATAAAGTATATACACATACACATGTGGACTTCCACGACTAAAAAATTCAGGGGACCAGAAAAATTTGTTGTGGAAAATATTTTGTTGTAGAGAACTCCTATAACATGGGGAGAGTACCAAATGGGACTACACAACAATTTGTCCCAAAGATGAGAAAATCATTTTAGACAAGTTTGTGGTAGAAAAAGTTCTCATAATCTAAATATAAATACAGTAAAATCACGATACAACAAACTTTTGGGGACCTCAGAAAAAGTTTGTTATAACGGATAATTTGTTGTAACAAGATTATCAAAAAAATTACTGGAAATTTTTTTTTTCTGCTCAGATCTCCATATATTTTGAATCAGGCTTGCCTTTGAGTTTAAGAACTCAAATTATTGTTTGAAAAAATCAGTGATTTTTTTCCTAATCAAATTCTTATTCACTGCTGCTGGCAATGCATCCTCAACTTTTTTCAGTGGATCATATTTTTCATCACTTGCACTGTCAGAGCATGAGAAAAAAATTTAATTGACCAGACACAAGCAATCATTTCAGTTGCTTGCTTGAAGTCAATGTCAGAATCCTTTTTATCACATGCAATGTTTGCAAGAATTTTCTATAAAATATTTTTCCTGTGATGAACTTTCAAAGTTTGTATTATGCCCTGGTCCAGAGGCTGAAAAAATGCAGTGCAGTTTGGTGTCAGATACTCCACTTGCACATTATCTAGGCAAGGAAGAATATTGTGGACAGAGCAGTTGTCCCAAACAAGCAAGATTTTCATTTTTTAATTTGCATGTCCTTGTTGACCTGCTGCAGCAATTTAACAAAAATTGCAGTGGTCATCAAGTCACATTTGTACATTCTTTAGAAAAGGTGGTTTTGCTGATTTTCCAATGATGAGTGGACTCAAATTATCTATCCCTGAAGCATTGCAACAGGAGAGGGCTGTCAGTCTCTGCTGTGATTTTCTGCTACCATGAAAAGGATAATTTCCAACAGCCAATGTGCATTTTGGAAACAATTTAAAAAAATGTCCATTTCATCTGCATTGAAAATGCTGTCAGGGCTGTAAGATGCAATACTTTTTTCA